TACTTCTGCCCATTTCAAAAGAAGGTAACTCTTTAATTTCAATCTTTTCCGTAATATATTTAAGATCATCATGAGATTAAAAGTTATTTTGATAACAATATATTTTTTAATACCACAATATTCAAAAGTCTTTTATACTTTCTCAAATTCCGTATCAAATCAAAATATATAAACAACTTGAGACGGGGGGAGTATTTTTTTAGGGCAAGGAAGGATAAAAAGGGATGGGATGTAATCAAATACGGACTAATACGTTGAAAAACTATTAAGATTCCTCGAAGATTGATATTAGTACAATAATTTTGAGTTCAATTTTTGGCTTACTATAATAATTTAAACAAATCATTTAGTTGGTAAGTGTACGAATCATTAGCCAATATTCTTTTAATTTCTTATTGAACATGTTGGTTGTCACTTGTCTACATTGGCGCGACAGTTGTCTCTTATCTTTCTTTATTACTTACAATTACTATGGTGTGCTGGATCCTTTTTTTATTTGGCTTAGAAGATAGTTCTATGAAATCATGTTATCTCATTTTTCAACTTTCTTAGAAGAATCTTTTTTACCTTCTGGCAACTTATCTTACTAACAAGAATGAAAATTTTAATTAGGTATTTGAATGACGTGGACTATTATGGAGGATTCGAACAAGAAGATCTGGATCAATTATTTGAAGCAATGAGATCAAATTACAAGGCATGGTGTTCAGGTTTTGCACCTTTAGCTATAGGAGGGGACATGGACTCTGTTGCGGTACAGGAATTCAGCAGGACATTGTTCAATATGAGACCAGACATAGCATTAAGTGTGTTACAAATTATATTCCAAAGTGATTTGAGGCATATGTTGCCTCATGTAACTGTTCCTTGTCATATAATTCAGAGCATGAAGGACCTGGCTGTGCCTGTCGTAGTCTCTGAATACCTCCACCAGAACCTCGGAGGCGAATCAATTGTGGAGGTGATGTCCACGGATGGACATCTGCCGCAGCTGAGTTCACCTGATATTGTTTTGCCGGTGTTGCTTAGGCATATTCGCTTTGATATTTCCGTTGATAAATAATTACTAGTGTGTGGTGGAATTTATTTGGGATATGTACAAAGTTACTTTCTTGCTTTGCTAAGTGCAATTCATAGCAAAGCAATCCTACGCATGCAACTGCGCAAATCTCAATTGATGATGATGGATACGTGTCGATTAATAAGTCAACTAAGTTTCAGTAGTTGTAAATTAATTGAGATCGGCTATTTGAATTTGGAGTGGTAATGTAGGTCCTGAGTCCATATGAGATTTATGCTGGTCCCATTGGATGTTTAATTTGTCTTGTTTGTTTGAGCTAGGCGAAAGCTCTGTTTTTGTTTGGGAATCTTTTGCTTGACGTGCATACAAACAATATTATGAGCTACTAATATTTGCTTATTCAGAGCACGCTGCTCAGCCCAACAAGAATTTGGTAAACTTCTGAGGCATACATATGTAATTAGGATAAAGATTTAAGTTATATGCATTTGATAATATGTATACAATTAGGTCACTAGATGAAACTCTATTTATTTGTTAGGAGTGGCTCAAATGATGCTTGTAAAACGTTTGCTTTAGTTCCAAAATTTTGAGGGCCTAAATTTTTTTTAATATTACGAATTTTATGATTTGATGTTACTTAAAATTGAAGATGATAAAATAAGTACAAAATTTATATAAAATATTGAACTAAACAACTCATATTTCATATTTGTTAATAAAGTTTCTACAATAATATCCAAGTGAATATTGCAAATAAATGGCTAATATCTTATTAACTAGAATTAATTTTAACTTTTATAAAAAGATATTATTATTATTACGTGAAGTTAAAAACTTTTGTGTGTTCTAAATATACGGAACTAAAAATAAGTAATATGTAAGAATAAAAAGAGCAATTTTTAATTATTATTATTTTAGCTTTAAACTAGTAAGGTTATTGAGATGTACTTGTTGTTTATTTCAATGCGAAATAATGAAATAATGAATGATCATATGAGTGGATAATTATATCTAGGTTTGAACGGAATGTTCTTTGCTAAGAAATTCACCAAATTATTAGAATTATTATCTTTTTTTGCTTTTCATTATCATAAATGTCAAATGTAATATGTAGGATAACTAAAATTTTAATTTATTGATCAGAGGATATTCAATCACTTAAGTATATTTTACTTATTTGTGCATTATTTATCAAAATACATTTTTTTTAACATTGCCTAGTAATCAAACATCCAAAAGGGTTAATCGGGGTTATGAATTAGGATTGGATCAAAATATATCATGTGAATTGACAAAATATAAATCCATCGTGGACTATATAAAATATTACGTCATATTTGATTGATCATTTTTCAATATAGTAACTTTTAAAGTGATATACATAAAAATGAGTGGCCTTCTTTTTACATGAAAAAATATGACTATAATAAATACTTGTTGAGATTTTTTTTTATAGTTCAAAATAAGTGAATTTTTTAAAATTCAAGATTTTCCTTTTTTTTTTTTTTATGAAGTGGCTAACTACTTTATTTTATAGAAGAATAATTTAGAAATAATAAAAAGAGTAATAATAGAAAGTAACCTTTAATTCTTATCCTTAAAAGAAATATATGTCATATCTCAATAATTCAAAGTAATTCTCAATAATTAGGTGGGTGAGTAATTAACTCTAAACCGTCTTTGAATATATGGTAATTGAGTTAAGCTTTTGAATGATCCCCATGTCAGTAGAAAATGAAGACTCATCTTCAATTAAATAAAACTCTGCTAGCTTCTGCTTTAATGAGCCAAAAAATTAAATTACTGAGGTGATTTAATTTTTTTACCTAGCTGGGTAAAAGAAAGTGTTTTTAACTCTCTATGCGTGTGGCAGGGGAAAAGCATCTCAGTAACGTTGTTCAGTATTTCACACAACAAAATTGACATAATGGAATTATTCGTTACGTCTTCATTTCATTTTAATATAACAACTTTAAATTATAAAAAAGGGGGAAAAAGTTTATTTATAGTGGAAAATAAAGAGTGAGAACTGAGAAGTATCAGTGGAACGGTCACGTGCTTTCAAGTCTCAAGGTTCTCTTTTTTTTTTTTTTTCTTCTATACCCTGCAACGCGCTTTCGGTTGCTAATTTTAAACCACATTTATGTTAAAAAAAATTATGTATGTCTTTCGCAAATAAGCATTTTTCTTGAAAGATGAGGTAGGTAGTTACCTAATACAAATAATTTAACATTGGTGCGTGGAATAAGTTTTAATGCATGTATTTTTATAGTTAGAGATAAAATATCTCTCAAAATCTTTATTTTAGAAATTATGAAATGCATATTATTTTTAATACACTAAATCAAACAATGCATAAGAAATGATATCTGCATAACTAATACCTACACTATTAATGTAGACATTAAAAAAACACTTTATTCTACGTTATTCTTACTTTTACTTTCTCCGATCCATTATTTTAGCTGACGTACTTATTAAAAATAGTTAATTTAGAATAATTGGTATTTTAGAAAAATTATGATATAAAAGTTAATTAATTATTTCTACCTTTATCATTATTCAATTAATCGGGAGAAAATTAATAACGATGAAAAGGAAAATGGTATTAAAGTAAGATTAACTGGTTTATCATTATTAGCATAGTATTTAAGAGGGAAAAATGACAAAATAGATAGAAAATGGTGTATTATTATTAGCGTCAGACTTAGGAATTAGGATGTTAAAAAACTGAAAGTGGTCAAATAGTTTATATTTAAATGGAGATAACTCCCTCGAAGTTATAAAAAATCCCAAGTCACCCGCTGTAATATAATGGCATAAAATCATCGCAGCTTCCTTGAAACTGAAGCAAATATAAATAATAATAGGCTAGATTTATTTTATATATATAATTTTCTTGTTTGATTGCACAAAATAAGCAAATTCAAAAAGTAGGAAATTCTTTTCAACTGTGCTCACTCTATTCACTCCATTAAACGTGAAAAAATTAATGTTATTTCTCTCCTCTGCAAATGTAACACAACCTTGATTGACATGAACCAATGGAAATATTTAATTTTCATTAATATGTAGGAATGCATTTATTGTTTTAATAATATGTATTTAATATTTCTGCTAATAGTATGTAGGAACGCATTTATTGTCTTATAATCTAGATTTATTTTTTCTAGTTCATTCTCATCACTATAAGAAAATAATAAAATTTCATTATATTTTACTATTGTAATTGAATTGTTGAGACATTTTTCATTTTTTAAATTAATTTAATTGTTCAATTTTCAAGACTACTTTTAGAATGTTTTTCTAATTTTACCCTTCATTAGTTAGTATTTGAATTAGTTATTAATTAATGTTTAGTTATTTTAATCATAATTTTGTTAATAATTAATAAGGGTAAAAATGAAATCTTCTTTTCTTAAAAGGGGTGAAATACCTCAACAATTCAATTAAGGAAAAATCTTTTTGGCCAGAAAATTTAAGCCAAAATTTGGCCAGAATGATATTTTATCTATATTATTTTACCTTTTAAAACATTTTTACCCTTTTAACTAAAAAATGGAAAAAATATCAGTTTATTTTAAAATAAAATAAAAATTATAATTTTTTTATTTTTCTGGCCAAATTTTTTGGTCATTTAACACTTCTCTTCAATTAATATGAAATGGAGGGAGTATATGTTATTTGTCTCACACATTATGTTTTCAAAATTCACTAAATTTTTAAAAAATTCACTGAATCTCAAGGATCTTGAGTAGTGGTCAAATTTTGGGGAGAAACTGTGTGTGAGAGACAAAAGAGCATTGGAGCCAATAGCTAACGCGGTCAATTAAACACGTGTCATCCATAATTAATCTCTTTATTATCACTTCCCTCAAAGCCCTTAAGCATCTCTCTTTCCTCTCAGTTTCCTCTTTCAGATTTTTTTTTTCTCCTTTCTACCCCTCCCTTCACTACCACCACATCGTAAAACACCCACGAAAAAAAAAAAAAAAAAACAGTTTTACAGCCGCAAGATCAGAAATTCAGAAGCTCACAACACAACTGAAAGGAAAAAATAAAAATCAATCGCATCAATTGAGCTGCTTCCGATCCATTTGAGCCGCCGGCGATGGCGTCAACAGTTAGTGATAGGATTGAACTAGCGAAGCTTTGTAGCTCTAAGGAGTGGTCCAAAGCAATTCGAATTCTCGATTCACTTCTTGCTCAAACTTGCGTCATTCAAGATATCTGGTACGTTACGTTTTTCACTGTTCCATCTTCTGTTTTCCTCTTTGTATATAGATTTTTGGAGATTTATGAATGAACTGATTTATTTTTCTGAATTTATAATGTGGTCAATTCTTTTTTTGTTTTGTTTCAGTAACCGAGCGTTTTGCTATAGCCAATTGGAGCTTCACAAGCATGTAATTAAGGATTGTGATAAGGCACTTCAGCTCGATCCTAAGCTTCTTCAAGCTTATATATTTAAAGGTTCGGTTCATTTTATCCTTGCATTTCCAATTAACTGTTTTTACCGTGTGTAAGAAATGCGAAAGAGAATTTAGACGTTTTCAATTGCATTTGGAATGTCAATTTTGAATATGGATGTGTTGTGGTCAGGCATCCTAATCCCTATAGGCCTGCGAAGTCAACTGTGCTACTCTGAATTTACAATCTTAGGGTTCTTGTTCCAATTTAGGTGATTGGCTATAATTGAGTAAATTTTTCTGGTTTTCAACAAACATGCACCATTGGCAATTTCGAGGAGTAGGATGAAGCTCTTGTAAAGCTAGTGAACGGTCACACCTCTCCATTGATGTCCTACAATTTACGACCATTGTCAAGTATGCGCCAAAATAAGGGTTAGCTTTAAATGAAGTGTGTATGTGAGAAGCTATTTTAAGCTTGATAAAGGTCATATTGGACTTGCTTTCTGTATCCTATAGTGGTCTTAGATTATATTTTTGAAATGACTTTAACTTTAAAATACACTATGTTTGGTTGGGGTATAAAGGGAAGGGATGGAAAATAAAGGAGGGAATAAGATGATTATTCCATCACCCTGGTAGGATAAGAGGAGATATTTACATAATCATTCAAGATTTAGTGGAAGGGGAGAAAATTTATTTAATTGTTGACCTTACTTTTTGTTCCATCAAATTTGCTTCCTTTGATAGTGTGATGTCGTGAGATGTCTAATAAACCTTATCAATTAGGAGAAGGAAAGTCATAATAAAGTTTGTGGTGTCATAACATGGTTTCCGTAGGTGATCTTGCTGAGTTTCTGTAGAATAATTGACAAAGTTTACAAAGCAAATGACACATGAACTCGATTAATCTCAGGGAGAGGCGCATCCAGGATGCTTTGGCCCCTCGATGCCAATAACAGACAACCTAAAGACAACGATAAGTAGTTTCAGGTGAAGAGTAAATTGATGTGCTTCCTTTCCCCTCCTTTCCTTGGACCAAACATAGTTTTGAGACACCTATGTTCTTATAGGAAGTCACTTATATTAATGGAAAAGTGTTCTACGGTTATCCTTTCTAGGGATGTACTTCAGTTCAGTTCATACAATGATACAAAAATATGATGAATTTGGTATGCTAGTATCACTCGCTGAATGGTTAAGGTTGTTCTCTGTGTTCTGGAGGACTACCCTGCTTGGATTGACTACTGAAGAAGTTCAATGCATGAATAGGCTGTCCAAAACACTTCATAATAGTTTGTATAGTTTTCTAGTTTGAACTGTGGCATTGTCACCGCGTTGGTAGTTGATTCCCCAATTTTCTCAGTGAGTGGACCTATTAGACAGGATAAAATAAAGTAGATTTGTGGATGTGTTATCAGCGTTGGTCTTTATGAGTTAACACCGCTGTATGCATATGTAGAAAAACTTAGTTACACAAATGAATCATATGTTAAGCTGATAAAGTAAATAACTTCCAACAGGTCACCGAGAAATAGAATAATTGGGATGGAAGTGTCATTTGCTACTTCTATTACGGATCTTACTGCCTCAAGATTTACATTCAGAGGCAGATGGTTGAGTTCTATGCTCGCGGGGTACAGGGAAGGGTTTGACCATATTGTGTCTATTGTACGCAGCCTTAGTGCCTTAAGTACCTTTTCTCTAAAAGGCTATTTCCACGGCAGGAACATGTGACATCCTTGTATCATGGCAACAACTTTGATCAGATAAAAAGATCAAATACATTTTTGTCTCTTGTGTGTAACATAGCCCTTGAAATAATGATATAAGAATTTGTATTGACAATATTCTTGTGTGGATACTGTGGATTTTCCCTAGATGTGGTTCTAGAATATGCTGCAGAAATTTCAATATTCTTAAAGCTTTAAAAACTGGCAGTTTTGTGCTAAACCGATTTTGAGTTTGAAGCATTATGTAACAAAGTTACTTGATACTTGTTGTTTAGGACGTGCATTATCTGCTCTTGGTAAGAAAGAGGAAGCTCTTCTAATTTGGGAGCAAGGGTATGAACATGCAGTTCATCAGTCTGCAGACTTAAAGCAACTGTTAGAGCTTAAAGAGCTGCTCAAAATTGCAAAGCAGAACACCGCAGTTGCCAGCAACAATCATTCGGTGCAGTCATCTGGCCCTGAGTCCAACACTGGGCCTCTACTTTCTACCAAATCTGGTGAAACTTGTGATATTAGTAAGGCCTCGGATAGGAAACTTAAAACATGCAGCAGTGGGATGTTGGAAAGCTCTGAGAAATCAAATAATAGCTCTGTTCTACAAAATTCCTCAAGTAATAATGCCAAAAAGCATAAGAAGATTGAATGTGAACCAAAGGAATTGCATGAGAGACAAGCAAATAGAACCAACAACAATTGCAAAAAATTGGGCTATCCATCTCTGGTTTGCAGTGAGTTAAGTGATATATCTGAAGACAGTGGGAAATCATCTGCAGTAACTAGTGAATCAAGTGAACAGTCAGAACCAAATGAGTTGCAGGAAATTCTCAGTCAGTTGAATAATAAATGTGATGTTCGTGTTGAATTGAGTGATGAAGGCAAGAGAAACAAAAAATTCTGTGTTACCAGGGTTAACAAAACCAAGTCCATTAATGTTGATTTCCGATTATCAAGGGGAATAGCACAGGTACACTGCCTATCCTGTGATATTACAATGAAGACAGGAAAAATTATTCCATCTATTGATAATTCCTGTTAGTGCGGTTGATCATAAATATGCTATTCGTCTTTATTGAAATACAAATAACAATACATTTGTAACTTCAAATATATGTGAAAGATCAGCTTCATGACTCAATTTGTGAGATTATTTTCTCTCAAATTAAGTAGAGAGATGAATTTTTTCTTGATATATCTGCTAGGTACTGGGATATCATGCTCATGCATAGCAGGAAAGGCTTTCTACTGCAGTTTTCATGTCTTTTGTGTTCACTTTGCTTATTTCAGTTGTGATTTGCTGATTACACTCCACTTTTAATTTTGTGAACTTAACTGGAAGATACTGCATCTGTTCAAAGCTTGGGTCAACTAAGCTCTATGATTAGAACTCGTTTTCTTCAGTTACTAAATTTTAATCTCTAACTCTTACGTGTTAAATTTATGGAGTTAAGTACATATTTGCAGTGTGCTTGATTGCATGTTTTGCTTTGTTTAAACTTAAGATGTCAAAAAAGGTTTGTGATTACCCGTCATAGTGATTCTTTCTCTCTCTAGTCGCACAACTCCGCACTATAGTGACATTAAAAACAAAAAGGAAGAAGAGAATTGTGGGAATGTTTAGCTTGATTATTTCTTCAATCTAGTAGGGTGTATTTTCTTTCCTATGCCCCCTAAGCTGTGGTGGACAGAGTTATTCGGTATTTGCACCGATAGGAGGATGTAGATACCCACTAGACTACTTGAGATGCCTGTAGGTTGGTTCTGACACCATTGTTATTCAAAAGAATGATGGTAAATTGACAATCTAGCTCTGTGTGCATGTTTTTTTGTCAAACACAAGATTTGAAACAGTAAGTAGTGCGGCTTGATGTGGTTGAGATCATGGCTTGATATTCTGCTTTGCAATTGATCTGACTATCACGTCTCGTTGCTTACTTTTCCAAGAGATTAGATTATCACCTTAGTTGCGTGGACTCTTCACTTTGATGCCGCACCCGTGTCAGACTTTCCAAAAATGCACTACTTTTGGCGAATCCGACATGCACCCGTCGAAATTTTTGAAGAGTCCGAGCAACATAGATTATCATGATTTAAAATGTTGTGTTTCTAAATTGGATCATTTATCTGAGGAACTTCTTACCCATTTTACATTAGAATATCCAGAACTTATATGTGTATGCTGTTGTAATGCAATAGTAGTTGTCTCGAAAATCCCTTGATGTAGGTAGAATGCAGATTATGGCATTTCACAAGGAGCCTGGAGAGACTGGTTAATCACACTAGCAACCAATTAGATGTTGTGTCATGCAATTGTGAAATACTTGAGTTTGCCAGCATTTCTTCAATATTGATCCAGACCTCCTAGAGATATCCATCCAAAACAAGTCTTAACACTTCGATCCATAGAGGTATCAATAAGTTTGCAATCTAGTATACCTTGTTTCTTCTAATATATCAGGTGGATACTTCCCTTATGATATTGGACGTGGAAACTTGATGGTTAGGATGTATTTTATGTTTCTACAAGTGCCTAGTCTTAAAATGACTGGTGTGATATTGTTTAAGTTGTATAATACCTTGAAGGCTATAAGGTTGTAAGGAAATAGAGTAAAACAGATCAAACTATGCTTTATGAGACTGCTTAAGACCATAAATGATCGGCCTTGTCGAAACACTACTTTAGACTCTTCTTTGTTCATGTCTAACTGATGACTGATGAAGGAACTAGTGGAGCGCGGTCGCCATAGAAATGGAAAGACCAACACGTGCAATTTTAGTTGCTGAGTGAGAGTATCAACCATTGCCATATATCTGAATGTATTTGTTGACAATTATTTGAGCTTTAAGACAATCTATAACCATCTTGATTATAAATACTCAATGAAATCCAACTGTAGTTTTATTCCTGTGGTAAAGGGTCTATCTCTCAAGTGCCATTGTTTTTTTTGTAAGGCCTTTCCTTAGTTGTACGCATGCAATTGGTTTTACCAGTCTAAGATAATGAATTTGTGCATAATTTGTAATGCAAGTATGATATGAATGTGAAAAACAATGTGAAACACCTACTAGATTAGTTGGTAGACGATATGCTCAAAGTTGTCTTCAGTAGAACCGAAGAGGAGAAGAAAATTGTTGGCGAACTGTCATAGGGGAAGGAAGTTTGTATCACAAGAAAGCAAGGATGAGAATCGTAAAAAATGCTCAGTTTGCTATTCTCTCAAGCTAATGAAGTTTAAATAGTGTTTACATATGATATAATATAGGAAGATTGAATTTCCCGGATTAATATTTGTTGGTAGCGGAAAGGGGGATGCGAGGCTGAGATGGTTCGGATACGTGAAGAGGAGATGCACATATGTTCCAGTGAGGAGGTGTGAGAGAGGTTGTCTATGGTGGGTCTGAGGAGAGGTAGGTGTTGGTTGAAGAAGTATTGGGTAGAAATGATTAGTCGAGCATTGTCTCGCTGTCATGTTGGAGAGGCATGATGATAGTTTGGAACAAATTACCTGTTGGCTGCCCTTTCTTTTCCATATTAGTATTATTGTTATTACTCTTCTATTATATTATTCTTCGATTTTTATTACTACATATTGTTTCCTTTGCTTCAATTATCGTATTATTATTTTGTTGTTGTTATTGTTCTTTTCTCCATTATTTCCGACATGAATTCTTCACAACTGTATCTCCTTTTCAAACCTGCTTTGAAATGCTTTACTTGAGCCGAGGGTCTATCGGAAACAACCACTCTACCTTCACAAGGCAGGGGTAAGGTCTGCGTACACACCACCCTTCCCAAACCTACTTGTGGAATTACACTGGATATGTTGTTGTTATGTAATATTCCCTGATCTCCTATACATATTTCTTTATCTAAGTCCTTAATTACAGAATATTCTTAACAAGATCAATCATCTCTGTGATAATAAATACAATTCGAAATATTAAGGTTAATCCATATATTTTTATCCTGCAACAACAGTTTCTTTTTTTTTTTTTTTTTTCTTAAACAAGAAATATTTTAACTTTGTAAGTTGAGCAGCAACGCCATTTTTAGTGAAAATTGTGCCTAATTAGTATGTTGGATGGAAACTAGCAAAGCGAACACATGACTTACCTGAAAGCTAAGTTGCTCGGACTCTACACTTGGGTGTGGGATCCGTACCCGATATGGTCAACCAGTTTTGGATACTCTGAACAAATTCGAGGGAGAAATTCTGGACAGATTCAATGATTTCTGTAATCAAAACAAAAACTAATGTGAAATTGAAGAAAATGGAATACCTTGTATATATAAATTTCTATTGTTACCCCCTTTCCTTTTATCTCCTTCCAAGATTCTCCTCTTGATCAAATATTTTCTCCTCAAGTTTTCCACATAATCTCATAATTTTAGGTTTTATAACTCTATTTTAGATATTTTGAATTATCTTTAGCCAAATCCCCACATTCGTTTCCATACATGGATCCTTATCCCTAAATCTTAAAATTTAGATCATAGAGGGTCCGACCTCTAGATCCGCACCCGTATTGGGCACCCGCACCCGAGTCCGAGCAACTTAGCCCGAAAGAAGTTTCAAAAGAGATTGCACCCATTTGGAGATTCAGTGGATGTAATTAACCAGGAATTGAGTTAAACTGTTTCTTTCTATTCCCATGTCTTGACTAGCAATATTCACTTCCTCTTCGTAAGTATATATTTGTAGGTAAAGATATTTTTTCCTCGATCTTCCTGTTAAGACACTATATTTACATGTATTCATCGTATTTAATTGAGAAATATGGTCAACGAGGATTCATCTAGTCGGCTATGACTTGCTTGGTATTGAAGCGTAGTAATAGTTGTTATTACTCGTCATCCTGTACAAACATAGAAGTGAAACAATATTTTTGGTGATTTCAGGTTAACGAAGGAAAATATGGTAATGCTGTATCCATCTTTGACCAGGTTAGCATTAGCCTTACCACTCTTCGATATTTTACTAGTTTTGTTTGCTAGATGTACCTTGTGCTTTATTTTACCCTTTTTCATGTTTGATTATGGATTCAACGGAAGACTTGTGTGTGGCATGCTGAACTTACTTACGGAGCTTCTTCTCTTCTATCTATAACACAGATACTAGAACAAGATCCAATGTACCCGGAGGCACTTATCGGCAGGGGAACAGCGTTGGCATTTCAAAGAGAACTTGATGCAGCTATCTCTGATTTTACAAAGGTTTGCATTGATTTGGCCATTTAAGTACCAATTGAGGTAATACTTCAACCCCTGTTGTAAATATTTACCATCTGCCTTTCAGGCTATACAGTCAAATCCATCTGCTGGTGAGGCCTGGAAACGCAGAGGGCAAGCCCGTGCTGCTTTAGGTGAATCTGTTGAGGTATGAAATTCGTATTTGTCTATTTATTGAGCTATCTTTTGGGTTTTGTCTTCAGGGTATTCTTTTCTGCAATATTTTTTTTTCAAAGTCAACTTTCAATGATCTCTTCCGTGGATGTGATGTGTAGTGTAAATGATGTGGAATTACTGAATTTTATCACTTGTGCCATCAGATTCTGAAACTAATTTTTTCATTAATAGCAATCAGACTCCATTTAGACCACTAGGGATATTATCAAGATGCACTTGGTTATTTTCCTTCAGATTGTGGTAGCTTACAGAGTTAATGATGGAAGATGATATGTCTTTGGATGGTCTAACTAAGGCTTGAGCTATATCACAACTTATGACCATCTTCCCATGAAAGTTAAATTCTAAAATGGAATCACGACCATAAAATTATTCAGCTGCATGCTTTTGATCATGGGAGTTTCTTGGTAGTCTAGTCTAGAACATAATTTTAACACTCTGATGAGTTAGTTTTAGTTTTGTTTTGCTCCAATTATCCCATGGAGAGTGATAGTAGTTACGGTTAAATGTTTTTTACTCCCTAAAATGTTTGGTTTCACAGTAATAGTAGTATGATTGATATTGGTGTATCTAAACAAAATGATTTTACACCAGGCAATTACAGACTTGACCAAAGCGTTGGAGTTTGAGCCAGACTCTGCCGATATATTACATGAAAGAGGTGACGAGACTGAACTCTTCCATTTACTATGAACAATTGGATTTATGCTGTTAAAGTAGTTTGACATAAAATAGCAACATACATTTTATGACTGATAGATTTTGTGCATGTAATTTGAAACTTCCAATGTATTAAGGTTCACTTTCATCTTTACAAGACTGAGATTAGTTAGTGAGGCCCATAGGTGGTTTCATCTTGTAACTATTTTGCAATGAATGACCTCTAGCGGACTGTTCCATAATTTCTTGAGATTTCATAAAAGATCATTTGATTGGACAAAGTCTGTTCAATCTAACATGGGAGTCACTAACTCTCCTTAATTAGTGCAGGAATTGTCAATTTTAAGTTTAAAGATTTCAAAGGTGCTGTTGAAGACCTCTCTACATGTGTAAAGTTCGATAAGGATAACAAATCTGCGTATACGTATTTGGTGAGTCTATGACCTTGAGTCGACTAATTGTTGTAGAATGAGCTAACAATGTTTATCCGCGTGAGTTTGAGAAATTTTTTGTTGGATAAATACTGATATAATGCTGGTCGGAAAAAAATTGGAAAATTATCAGGGCTTGGCCTTATCCTCTCTAGGAGAATATAGAAAGGCTGAGGAGGCACATAAGAAAGCAATCCAAATTGAAAGGAATTTCCTCGAGGCTTGGGCACATCTAGCACAGGTATCTCTGAATATATGCTGAATACTCTTAATGCTATTTTTCCTGCCAAGTGGAATCCTAATACTTCTATTGGTAGTGCTGATGCTATAGAGTCTCTTGATGATGAAGTTGCCTTTTGACTTCGAGAATTTTCTTTTACCAAGTTCTTGTTTTTGTTTGTCTCTTTTTTCACCGGTATCTGGAACTCAAGGTTGAGGTAAATATATACTTCTCCATGTAAGTTAAGAAATTCAAGAATCAGGATTTAAATGGCAAGCAGACATTCTACTGCTTAACCAGTGATGGAGAGCCTAGCTCTCTGTTTTCAGATATTGTGTGAGCGTTCATCTTCTGGGTGCAATGCACATTTATTGTAATAGCTTTTGTTGCATTTTCAGATAGGGTCTCCTGATTAGCTGGTAGATATTATTAATTTACATAATCAAATTAGATGTTTACGGAATATCTATTGCCATAAGTTTAAAATTTCTAAGATTCGGGAGCTGCTCTAAACTAGTTCTTGATTGGTTGAGTTTCTTCACTTATCTTAAATGTGGGCAAAACAATGAGATCTCTTTGAAGATATTATTCTAATGATGTATAGATTATTGAAGAATCTTTATCTTTGGTGCAGTTTTATCAAGACCTAGCAAATTCAGAGAAGGCCTTGGAATGCCTTCATCAGATTTTGCAAATAGATGGGAGGTGATTACTGAGGATCTCAATATTTACATCTTTTTCACCGATAAATATCTAGTCTTGAGTATTTGAATGGTGAAGTACAAAACCTATCCTCAAATAGGAATATAGCTGATAATCCATCCTCTATTTACCCTTTTTCGTTGGAAGGTACGCGAAAGCATATCACCTGCGCGGGCTGTTACTTCATGGAATGGGAGAGCATAGGTACATACTTCTGAAATATTTTGCTGTCTTGAGTTCTCCCCTCCCCCCCCTCTCTTTTTTGTCAAATTTGCTATATATAATCCTCTTTTTACGAAAAATGTAGCAGGACTTAACTTCCTATATTTGCTGTTACAGGAATGCTATAAAAGATTTATCAATGGGGTTGGCTATTGATAGCGCAAACATTGAATGCTTGTATCTACGAGCTTCTTGCTATCATGCTATTGGATTATATAAAGAAGCAGTATGGGCGTTTTCAAACTTGTCTCCTGTGACTTTGAGTATTCTTAAATATTTTAAGGTGGTTGTCTTCAATTTCAGATTATTGATTCTGAATTTATGCTGTAGGTGAAGGACTATGATGCTGCTTTAGATCTTGAATTAGATTCTATGGAAAAGTTTGTGCTTCAATGCTTGGCGTTCTATCAGGTAAATAAGTATATGCCAGATTTCCGTCCATCAAGCTGGTTCGATGTTATGCCTGTACTAAATATTGTTTTCTTTTGTGTTGCACTATTTTCTTTTTGCTTTCTAAGTCTTGGCATTTTCTTAACTGTCTAGCTTTTTAGCTTTTACCTTGCTGGAATGTGTCTCAATTCTCAATTGGACAGCTCAGATTTCAAATTTTAGATTTGTCATTTTGGGGTAGTTAGCCATTTTAGTAGTTGCAATTTTCCATTTACTTAAGTTAGTAGTCAGAAATTTAGCAATTTTACATTTTCCCACAAATTGTCCAAACATTGGCTAAATTTCTGATCGTCTTTTTGTTCCGTTAAGCCACTGTTGGACAGTGTGGGTCGAAGTGGCAGATGGTTAACAAAGCCAAGCGTGGCTTGGTTTAAGCTTGATTATGGTTGGGTTTTAGGCGTCTAGCAAATTCAAACCTAGCACAAATGTCCCTACCAAAAGCTCGAGCTGACAGATGCTAGCTTGTGAGCCCAGTTGAGTTGGCTAGTGTTTTTTTCACTTTACCATTACACATCCGGTAAAGTAAGCTTTTCCTTCCCGTACCATTTAATAGTCTTGTGAACAACCTTCTGCTTCCTGCCTGCGACAATATGGCTTTCAGGTGCAGCCATTATCATGAGACACCAATTGATCTCTCTATCTCTGTAATTTTTTGTGCAATTTCTATTTCAGTTTGAATAGCTTATGTTTTGCTTTTCAATATTTTTCTCTTGCAGAAAGAAATTGCATTATACACAGCGTCAAAGATCAACAGCGAATTTTCTTGGTTTGATATTGATGGAGATATCGATCCCCTTTTCAAGGTAATGTTTAAAAAGAGAATATATTGCTTGGTTATTTTTTGATAGCACCACTCATTAAAAACAAAACGGAATATTCTGGTAGCCTCTGTACCACCTCTTTCTGAGAGAATTGGGAAAAGGAATGAAGTTTGAAGTTTGAAGTTATAGCAAAAAGTACTATCTGGTGGGAATTACGCAGAACTTTGAAGGTTAGCAGAGAATTTGGAGAATGAAAGAAGTTTAAATTCGATTATAAGCTTACCTGAAGGATTTGACCCTGAAATCACTACAGCTCTGTCAAAGTAATTGGACATTTTACCATATCATTTAACATGCTCATACTCTATTATGTAGAGTTATCCCTTTTAGGCTTCAAACCCTTTTTTAGAGCCCCCATCATTTCCTTAACCCCCGCTAAATGGTTGGGAAGTGATATTTAATATCTTCTCAACCATTAGTCTCATAAGATTGCTACAACAGCTTCATTGCGCAATTACTTTATCATGAGTAGAGTGACAATGGATACAAGGACAATCTAGAAACATAAAGGTTGCTTTCACTGAGTTGCTACTGCAGACATTGCTTGCACTTTAACTATGTGCTTTATTTGGTGCATATTGTTCCTTCATAGTTAGTTGCCAATGTTCTTTTGCTGATCCATGTCGAATGGGTGTGGTTACCTTGTGCTGAGTCTGGAAAATACTAAAAGTTCTGCAAAAAGTCACGGGTACCCATATGGATAGAACAAAGTTATTGATTCCAGTCAGGAAAAATAATCAATGAAGGGACAACATGCAGATATCAGTGACAGTTTTCTTGAATGATGTGTAGTCTCCAGTTCATAAACCTAACAGTGCTTTAATCACTTTTATACACCTGGAGGGTCCAGGGTGATACCTTTTACAAAGTGAACTGTCATGGGAAAACCTTTGATTTGAAATGATGGTTTCTTGACAGATATGTGGGATCATTTCATTAATCTTAGGGGCTAATAATCAATTTTTGTAAATCTCGGATCTAAAGTGGTAGATACCTCTATGAAGTGAACTGTCATCTGAAAAGTGCTTTTGTTGGCAGTGAATTTCTTGTCTCAAATGCTTAGTTCTCAATTCTTACTTTTTCGTTCCTTCTGTTCTCAGGAGTATTGGTGCAAAAGGCTGCACCCAAAAAATGTTTGCGAAAAGGTCTACAGGCAACCTCCTTTAAAAGAATCTTTGAAAAAGGGAAAGCAAAGAAAGCAAGAATTTACTTTCACCAAGCAAAAAACTGCCCTTCTACAGGCTGCAGATTCTATCGGTAGGAATATCCAGTATCATTGCCCTGGTTTCTTGCATAATAGGCGCCAGGTAATTCTAAAAAGAGTTAAATATTAAGTTAACTGTGATCTTTTTAAAAAAAAATCCAGAGCTCTACATTTTCCTTGAGAAACCTGATTGTGATTTCCTGTAGCTTTCTTAGATGCCTTTTTATGCTTTGCTTTCACATTTCCTCTGGAGTTATATTAACATAGATGATGAGATAATTGAAGGAAAAGAATATGAAAATGTTACCAGAACATTTTGTTTGTATTGGTAGCCTTGTAATTGAGGGATTTGAACTGATATGCCAATAATAAGAGAAAGTTCTTGTACAAGAATGTTACCTTCATTTTCACACTCGACGTTTCCTCTCCAGCTTTCACTGTACACACTCTTTGTTTTCCATCAATAGTCAGTTACATTCCATGAAAGATAAAAATTAAGGAATTCATCTCAAATTAGGTTATCGGAAAAAAAAGAAAAAGAAAAAAAAGAAGAGAATTCATCACAAATGAGATAATGCTCTATGGGTTATCTGTCAACAGAATATTTTCACTATTTGTGGACTAGTGTTCTATCTTCTCTTAGCACAGAAAGGGAGATTTGGATCTTAAAGACAACAACAACAATAACAACAACAAACCCAGTGAAATCCCACTACATGGGCTCTGGGGATCTTAAAGACTGTTTAGCATTTTATATTCCACAGTTATGAATGATAACTTTCTACACACTCTGTCAAATAAGATTGAGGTGACTGTCAAGTCTACATTTCTAGTGAAAATGTCTAAAATGAATAGCATGCAACTAATAATAATACTTATAGATGTGAATATTTTCCACTAAATGATGTTAGACTAAAAATGTCAAGTTTTGATGTTCATCTAGTGCAAAAAGGGATGAAGACAAGTTATTGAGTCAAAGTGGATATCTGTGACATCTCTTTAGCAATTCTCACTGTTGCCGTAAAGCATCTGCCTAGTCATCCCGAGGAAAAGAGAGAATTTGGCAACTTCTTTTCTTTGTCTTTTATACTTTAGGCTGTAAGTTTAATTGATAACTGATGCCGTGGGAAATGGTTAAACATTTAGAGGTTCATATTGTGCTGTAGTCCATATTTATGATTGGCTGTCTTTAGTTTTGGGGAGACACTTATAGGAAGCAGTTGGCTTTCGCCCTTCAGCCTCTAATTCTGTAATCTGTATGTTGTGGAGCAATTTCCGATGTTAACTGTGATGCTCTTTGTAGTTATTTAGTTGAGTTAGTTTGTGCAATGGTTGTAAACTGTAGTATTAGATTTGTGCCTTTCTAACTTGTGTTGCTTTTTCATGATCAAAATTTCTCTTTACTTATCTAGTGAAGAGGATCTATTGTTCCTAGTGTATCTCTTAGACCTTATGATGATATTCTTTTCTTTTTGCAATTTAAAGATGATATATCTTTACTGCAGATGGCCAGTTCATAATTTTTTGTGAAGTCAACTCTCTTTTTTAATTTGATATGTATTTATACGCTGCTCTTTAGCTACAAACATGCTTGCCACAATGTTGTTATTCTTTCACCCAAATCTGAGAATATTTTTGCAATTATCAGCACCGCATGGCAGGATTAGCTGCTATTGAGATAGCACAAAAAGTCTCAAAAGCTTGGCGTGCCTTACAAGCTGAATGGAGAAACTCAACTAAAGGCACAGGAAAGTCTGGGAAGAGACTCAGGAGAAGGGAAAAACTAAATTCTGTTAGTTTAAACAGAGGTGGAGCTGGTTGTAGCACTAGCAGTTCCTCAGACACATCTACTTCATACAGTTTGATTGATGATAGGTCAACTGGACGTTCCATGATGTCATGGAACCACTTGTACTCATTGGCTGTCAAATGGAGACAAATATCTGAACCATGTGATCCAGTGGTGTGGATTAACAAGCTAAGGTACTCCACCTGCTATTAATGTAGTGAAGTTTAGTTAGTTATTAAAGTTCATTGAAATCTATACTTGGTCTCAGCATTTTAACAAATATCTACTACATTTTCCTAAAGTCTTTCCGATTTGAATTGAGTACACAATGATATTCTCTTCTTTTATTTTTGATAAAGAGCTCTTATTTCTTAATATCAACAATGATATTCTCTTAGTACATAAAGATAATAAGAATCACTATCTTCACCTCAAGCATGAAAAAAAACCTCCCTCAATTTGCTTAACTTGCTTGATTTGATCCTTTAGTTCTATGGAGTTATTTCCCAGCTTCTGTGTTGGTGTACTTCACTCTCATTTGGAGCACTCACGAAAAGAAGGATTCTAGCATATATGACTTTTGAAGTTTGGGTGAAGATTTTGGAGGACTAAAGACCTATTTCACTTTGGCTCTTCTAAGAGACTAAGACTAAAATCATTAATTCGTATTTAAGCCAGGATAACCAGAATATAGCATACTACTTACCACGTCGACGAGATGCTAGTGTATGAAGAGATACCCCTCTAGAAGTCGTAGAGAAATTCAAGAAATGCTACAGGATCAATAAGTTTGATGGACATGTGTCACATCCCAAAATACACCCAGACATGACTGGCACCCGCTAACACCACCTGTCGAGCGAACCAAATATCCATACACTTACCCAATTATCTAGCAGTTAGAGCATTACGCGCAAGTCTAAATACATTAGTTGATAAAAGGAGAATAATAAATCCAACGAAATCCATAATCATACCATTGATTCAACGATCACCAAATACCCTCTAGCCCAAATCCCACAATATGACCGTGAAGGATCTAATAGAGTAAATGAGTTTAGCTGTCAGGCATGCAAATCCCAAGAAAGAAGATAGATGCTATAAAATAGATAGAGCTGAAACAACGGCCTCCACGAAAGGTCTTTAGCTTTACTATAAAGAAGATATTGATCTAATGTGCCGCTTTAGCTTTACTTTTTGCTGAGAATTCTTTTTTTTTTTGCATAGTGAGGAATTCAATACTGGATTTGGGTCTCACACTCCTCTTGTTCTCGGTCAAGCCAAAGTTGTTCGCTACCATCCCAATTCTCAGAGGTAAGAGCTTTACCTTTCTGATTAAGCGCAAATGTATTTCTTTACTATTATTTTTTGTGTAACATGGATACTGCAAATGATACCGATGCTATGATTGACCTTTAGAGCTCGTTACAGGATGTGTAATTGATGCTACCCTTGTAAAAAACTTTACAACAGCTTGCTGCTGGCCATGAATAAAATTTCCTTTTAACAGTCAAAAGGCATAACCTTTCTTATTTGTATTAGCTCTTTCTCAAGGCTCTTATTGTCTGTCAATGTTCAGAACCTTGACTGTTGCCAAGGCTGTTATCAAGGAGAATAAATACGTGTGCAACAAGGAAGACAGGATAATTGATCTTTCTGAACAACAGAAGTTGCAAGAAGTGAGTTTGTTTGCTTATGACCTTAGTTCATCTTTTGCACTGTTGTGCCTTTTTGACAGTGTATAGTTTTTGGTTGTTGATAATTGGTTTTCTGGTTCATGTCAAAATACCAACTTTATAGCATTTCCCATGACAATAAAACCGTCAAATTGAGAAATCTTTATTAGGCTGATTTTATATTGGTCACATTTCTTCCTTAGATGTTATCTGATGGCTCTCTGAAATCGAACTAGGTGTCCAATTGCTAGGTTTACTACTTTTGTGCCATGCCTTTTTTCTCTTCTGGTGGTAATCAACACCTGAACTGTACTTTGCAGATAATGGCTGCAGAATCCAGCTCTGATCTTTACAGAGTTGTTGGTCAAGACTTTTGGTTGGCCACCTGGTGTAACAGTACGGCACTTGAAGGGTACTTTTTTATATGTAGTCCTCTTTATACTGTATAACAGTATGTTACTCATGAATATTTTCTCTCATCAGGGTCTTTTTTCTAATTTTCCCTCCTTTCTTATTACCTGATCAGGAAGCGTCTTGAAGGAACAAGGATCACTGTAGTGAAAATGTAGAACACCATCTAACCTATTTGGAATTCAACCTTTTGTGTGTGGAAAGGAGGGTGACTTGAGTAAACTATCGCTTAAACTAGTTCTGATTTTTCTTATTCCTGTCAACTTTTGTTGTTCCTTCCAGGGGTGAGATTGGTTACGACTTTGCAATTAGAACACCTTGTACACCTGCTAGATGGGACGACTTTGATGTGGAGATGACATCAGCCTGGGAGGTATCCTCTTGATTTATTATCTAGAAAGTCATTTTCTACTTCCATGACATAGTTTTTGGATATTTGAAAGCAATATAACATCAATGTAAAACAGGAGACAAAAAAATTCTTTAGAGGTCGTTTGGTAGGGTGTATTAGGTAGAATAATGCTAGTACTAAATTTTAGTACAATGTTTGGTTTCAAATCTCACCTATGTACTACTAATACCAGTATTACTTATACACCCTATTTAATACTATTCTTATACATAGTAAACCATGGCATTAACTATATCAGTGCCATTCCTATACTTATAAGTCATACACCCTATTCAGTACTATTCTTGATAATGCAATGCATGTTAGATTGCTAGTTTTAATACAACAAACCAAACAATCAATAAGAAATGATGTCAGCATAAAAAATCCCAGTACTACTTGTCTTCGAACCAAACTGCCCCTTATAGTACAGTTTTTCATGGTTTATTCATCTTGTGCCTGCTCGGAGATGATCAGTGAAGTCTTGCAATAAGCCTATATTAGTCAGATTGGGAGTCTGTTCATCAGACTATTCTCTCACTTTTATAAATAGATTTTGCTAAGCACTGAAACAATCATATGCTTCCCTTGACTATTTTCCTGTCTGGACATAGAAGTAAGCATTATACCTGAGATGATCTGGGTTTTTGTGCAGTATAATCTTTCTGAAATGATTTGGCATATATTTCTTACTTGAACTTGTTTGTAGACCTACTATTTAGTTCCTAACTGAAGCTTTATCTATGCCCATTAATTTCCTATTGTTGCTTACTTCTGTTTGTGTTGCTCCCTTCTTTCCCCTCCTTTCTTCTGTTTATTTGTTCTTGAGACACACATGTATTTTCTGTTTGATATTTAAATAATAGTGTTCTAATTAAGTTAACTAACTAGTCCGTGAAAACTGGCCTGGACACCACGGTCATCAAAAAAAAATTTAACTAAGTTGAGACTTAAATGATAGTGTTCTAGTTAAGACTAAGTTGAACACAAAACTGTTATGCAGGCTCTTTGCGATGCTTACTGTGGTGAGAATTATGGGTCAACAGATTTTGATGTGCTTGAAAATGTGAGAGATGCAATCTTAAGGATGACATATTACTGGTAAGATATATTAACTTCTATTTGGTTGATGTCAAGGGAAGCATATGATTCTCTTTAATTTGGCTGATAATTTTTGCAGGTATAATTTCATGCCGCTTTCCAGAGGAACTGCTGTTGTTGGATTCATAGTTTTGCTTGGATTACTGCTCGCTGCTAATATGGAGTTCACAGGAAGCATTCCAAAAGGTCTGCAGGTGGATTGGGAAGCCATCCTGGAGTTTGACTCGAGTTCCTTTGTAGATTCTGTAAAGAAATGGTTGTACCCATCTCTCAAAGTCAGCACATCATGGAAAAGCTACCCAGATGTCACGTCAACATTTGAGACGACTGGATCAGTTGTTGCTGCTCTGAGCACCTATTCAGACTAAGGGAGATACGTCATTTATTGGTAAGTTGCTGTACATACGAAGGAAACAAATTTCTCTACTCTATTCTGCTGGATATTTTGGGCTTGCTGTTTGTAGTTCAACAAAATTTGGAGCACGTCCTTGTGTGTATAGTTTCCCTCACCTCTCCAATTTTAATAGGAGTATTCAATTATACTAAGACCATGCACTTGACAAAGGGCAACTTCTTAATCTACTCAACAACGAGGTGCGTGCACAATAGTATTGAAATGAGATTCTTCTAATCTTTTAAACCACCAGCACGATAGGATTGAATTGTCGGTGGCTAAAAAGACTAGAACCATCATTTGGGCTGTGGTGCTACACACGAGGATTGTTCAGTCAACTGTAGCATCATTGGAATTAAAATCAGAGGAATTACATAAATTTTAAGTGGTGGAAGTATGGGATACAGTACTAGCACGTTAACTCACAAGGACATGAATGCAATTTTTCTTTGGTAGTTCCTGTTCATAAGCCCTAAAGCTTCTCTGAACTTGTTAATATATTTCAGCAGTTCTAAGTTTTGCAATGCTTTTTATTTGTGAGAACTATGTGAAATGTGAGGGTGCAGCTATATTTGAGTGGATTTCTCTTAACTTTCCCATATATTCGTTGCATATAGGTTTCATCTGGGATCATTTATCTGGAGAAATTTCGCTGGTGCATTATCTGACTTGATCCTGCTGCGGATGAATTGAGGCGAGATGTTTTACATTATTAACATTCTCCTAGTGTACCATTACTTGTGAATTATTGTATTTTAGTTGTCTTGTGTATGATCTGCCCTCTCATTGTTTCCTTACTTTTAGATTACCATGTTAGATTTCAGGATAGTTATTTGAAAAGAAATGAATAAATGGGTTTTCTAGTCTTTGTTGTCCTTGTATTTTGTGTTTCTTTATGCAGTTAGACGGACCCGTTTCTTCTATAGTTTGCAGGGTGGTGATGAATGAATTAAGAAGTGGGGGTGAAAAGTCTCACTTTTTAGCCCATGTAATGAAAAATGGTGGTTCTGAACCTCTGACCCCCGCTTTGCAAACTTTCCTCCATTTCATTCTGAACGGAGGCTAGTAATCATTTTCAAAGAGGCAAGGCAAATACAGAAAAGAGTCGATATCAAACGCATAGTGAGAAGCAATAATTGCCAGTGGACTAAACTATATTCTCCCAACAAGTGCAAAGGAGAAAAAAATAATAATAAACATAGTCAAATGCGCACCAGTTTTCAGCATTTGGAACCAACAAAATCTACCGGGTTAGGTACGATACGATACCTCAGCAGATCTATTCTAAAAAACTTGTCTGTTTGGTATCCATTTATGGTGTATTTGTTGAGGTGTCTTGTCCAGGAGGACCATATCAAACCAAAAAGTACATTGTCTGAAAAGGATTGATAAGATAAACAAAATCGCATATTTCCTTCCCTCTTTAATAGGATTAACTTCCAAAAGTGTTTTTTGTTTCCACAGAGAAACAAAATCTTATCTAGAAAACGCAAGAGTATGTCGGTTGTAAGAATTGACAGGAAAGGGGAACGAACAGGTGGAATATCACTCACACGGTTAATTCTGCATTTGAACAAAAGATATGAATATCTTACTCCGCATGAATGAAAGACCCGTTTATGAACCTTAATGTTCCTCAACTCGTAACGAGCTATCACATTTTTCTTGTACTTTTACATTTTCCCCTCCTGTGATACGCTTTCAATAACGCCTTTGCTTCTCCGACTTGTTCTCCAAAGCCGTCCCTTTTTCAAGAGCCGATGCTCCTTGTCTTTCCACTGGGTTGGCATGCCTGTTAGAGGACACCGAGATCACTAATTTTGCTCATTTTGAGTGAAATTGAACTTCATAATACAATCTGTGCTAAAGCACAACATAAAAGAAGGATTTAAAACTCATACATTGCTAGTAACGGGCATTTGCCTTAAGCTCTTATACGTTGTTAGCTGCAGTTATCTTTTACACGATCTAGTAGTACAATTTAACATGTCAAAACTTGTGCTATCTTGTAAACTTTGGAGCACTAAAATAGGTAAAATACGAAATAAGAACAACAAAAATAATTCACCACTTACTTTTTAATAGTGCCTCTTCTATCTTCCCTTTCATTTTTCCACCTGCAAGGCGATGCTGGACCCTGGATTTATGAGTTCCATTGTCATCTTCCATGGACTTTGCGGCATCTGCAAAAATCCACGTGGCTGTCATCTGCTTGTTCAACATGCGCATTGCATAGTATGGGATTTTCCTTGTGCTGCTTTTGTTTCCATTCAACTTGCTTCGTTCATTGATGAACATTAAACAATCCATTAAACTTAGTCTAGCCAATCCTTTCATGTGATAAGCCTGCGATCTTCGCCACAGGCTCTTTATATGTGGTCTCATTTCACCTGATAAGCATAAGGCTCGTGTTGTATCACTAATAGCTAACTCTGCTTCTCCTAAAATTAAATGACATTGAGCTCTATTGCTATAAAGAACAATCCTTTCTTTTCTTAAGTTTAGTGGACATAAATCTAAAGCCTTTGTGTACTTGTTTACAGCTGCTTCAATCTCACTTGACCAAAATTTCTTGTTTCCTTCACGTTTTAAAACGGAAACCAAAAGCTCTGTTTCCTTCACTTCTTGTTCCGACATGATTTTATCCCTTTTCCTTTTTTCAACTTTCAAGTCCCAAATCTCTTCAATTGCCTTTTGTGATCCTTTTTCATAGAACCCCACTTGACCATATTTGATTTTAGCATAATCTTGCAAGAGTAGTTGCGTTATCATGTCACCAATTTTTCGTCTTCCTTTGATAGTTCTAAGCTCTACTAAATCAGCAAGAAAAGGAGCTGCAATGTTGGTTACTCTGTTTCTTGTTTTTGGATCCTTGAGAAGTACCAAAAGACTTTCAATTGCCATGAATTGCCATTCGTCCGATGATCTAGAGAGGTTGCAGATGTTTTCTACAACTTGTTCTAATTGAGCAATGTTTTTTCTACCATCTTCGCTGTCACATAGACTTCTGATTAGGCCAATGCCAGAGAAAGAATTCTGGTTCTGTAATCCACCCCATATATCACATAAATTCTTGAGAAAATCTTCTTTGCATATTAAATTGATGCTTCTTTTCTTTGTAATGAAGCAGTTGAGAAGGTATAGAGACCAGCATTGCATTTGGCAAGCCCAAGACTCTGCTTTTTTATTCTCCATTTCGAATTCTCTGAGACCTTTTGTCATCAAATAGCGATGATATTCGACTCTCTTTTCACTTTTCTTGCCTACAAACTCGCTATAGATTGTAAAAATGCATTTGGAAGCTATGTCCATAGCTAGCTTTATAATCTCTACTTCATGGACCTTAATGTCTTCAAATGTTCTTCTATGTCGCACAATGTGACCAAGTGCTCTAACAGCCACTCTTTGCTCAACCCAAGTTATCTTACCTTTTAAGAGGTCTATTAATGGCGAAATTACACCTGATTTAACAGCCAAAACAGAGAATCTAGCTTTGTTCATGGTATAGGAGCCAATGATATGAGCTGCATAATAAGGAACATACACGTTATGGCCTCTTGAAAGCCATTTTTGGTCACGGGTGCACCTGTTGAGAAGTCTAGCCATGCAATTAAAGACACCGAGGGACGGGAATTCAGGGTCATCAGGTCGAGCAAGAGCAATATTCCAGAGGCATCTTAAGGTGAGAACAAGCTCTATATCTTCAATTAGATGCAAATCTTTGAAGCATTGAACTATTAAAGTTTTTCGTATCGATGGATCTTTTTCTTCCATTGTACCACACAACAAACAACTACGACGTGTACTGTTGCATTTCATGTTCAAATGCAGGGCAAAGTCTGTTTTGTTTTTTGCTGTTTGAGTAGTCAGAGAATGTTGTTGATGGAGTTTCTATGGCAGGTTGTTAGAGGTATTAGTTTTAGTGCACTGACTGGTGGGCAGGTAAGGGTTCATTTTCAGAAGTAACTCTTAGTCAAAGTGTTTTGTCGTTATTCATATATGTCCATCTTACATAAATATAACAAGTTGCAAACTCCCCCCACCCACCCACACCCAAAAACAGAAAATAAACAAAAAAAAAAAAAAAGAGAGAGAAAGTGTTTTGACAAACATGTGGGCTGAATCATGAGACTACTTGGTCCGACTCTGACCAGAAATTGAGTTGTGAGAGTTGTAGATAGACAAAAAGAGGGGAGAAACGAATAAATAGGAATGATTTTGTACCATTAGAAAGAAGTACCTACTAAGATATCTCTACTGACGAACCATTTCAATAGTATAGGTGTTGCCTTGCCATGACCCACGCGGCACTACCATGACCAACCTTTTTTTCTCTAGGTATAACACATTCCTTTTCTAACTGAACTTTCCCATCACGATCTTTAATTCTTTGGTATGCTCTATTTATTATTCCTTTGGACTTTCTTCTTTCCAATGCGCGATATGGGTGGTGGAATTTATGATATCAAGGAGTTGTTTGATGTAAGGTATAAAGTATAATATTCTCATGATAAAATGTAGGATTATTTTATCCCAAGTTTGGTTGAAGATATTAGATAGTTTTTGAATTATTATCTCACTATTTTTGCCAAGTAATGAAATAGATAGATTATCTCATACACAAGATAGAATAACTTACTCCGAATAACTTATTTCGGACGGAACGACCCCGAGGCCTAGAAGAGCCTCCAAGGCAGTCCCTTTTTTTGATCTCATATGTAGTATCCTCGTGGAGTCTAGATTTAACTTGAAAAGCAAACAAAGCAATTGTTTACATTATTTAATGAACCACAAGTACAAATGGGGTTGGTCTCAAGAAAATGCGGCTAACCTATGAAAGAGTTAATTAAAGTATCTTTTTGAGTTGAAGCAGAATTTGCAACTCACTTCAGCATTGCTTTTGATGCCAAAAATAATCATTACAAATCTGGGATATAATAATACAAACATGCTTAGTTCAGATTTTAACATGTGTCTTTACGTCGATATTAAGCACTCCCTTGTTTTCTTTATTTATTTTAATAATTACTATTTGAACACTTAAATGATTTAAAAAACAAATTTAAGTGATATTTTTATATCATAATTTTTTTTCTTTTTGTTTTTAATATTTTAAATGATTAAATATCAGAATTTAAAGTACTTTTATATAGTTTCTAAATGTATATTCATATATAAGAAATGGGAATAAGCACACACGTTATTGTAAAAAGTATAACCACACACAACTCTACCTTCATAAATTCAAATAAAATGAAAATATATGGGGAAAAAAGTAGGTCATTGAATTGAAAAAATGAAAACATAATTAATTATTTTTAAAATTATTCTATTATTATTGATTGAGTATTACTACCCTTGATAGATTATACATACAACTTAAATAAATTATAAATATACAATTAATATTTCTTGGGCCCGTGCACCGCACGGGCTATCGATTAGTAAGTATAAAAATAAAAGGAAAAACTACATAACACACATACATCACTACCATATATACTATACTTACATCTAGTTCAATATAATTACACATATTGCCACTTTTAATATTTATACCATACATTTTAAAAGATTTAATTAGATACACAAATTTCTTAAATATAGTATTGGATAATTATCTTAAATTTAAACTCCTTAATTAATGGTCATTAACAAGTCAATTTTTTTCTATTCCCATCAGCCGCCGTTCCCCCACCCCATGTCCGGCCGCCCACTTTCGTTCTTCATCTTCTCCCTCTTTATTCCTTCATTCTCTCAATACATGTTTGCATGTTCAAATCAGTATTTTACATATAGGTTTGTTTTTATTGTTTTATTATTCTCATGTGGTTTTGTATCAGATTAAAATTCATAATGTTCTTAAGTTCAATTTTAAAAAGTTTTACAAATTAGGTTTTATATTTTTTGATTTTGTTGTTTCTCAAACACTTTAATGGCTGACCATTCTCAAAATCGGATGATTCTTGTTAAATGTACTACACATTAATAATATTATACTAAATCAGACAACTTTTATTTGTTTATTTTTGCTCAAGAATTTCTCATTGTAGGGACTGACTCTTCATCCATCAACATTCAAGTCGAGAATAGATCTACGTATAGGAACGACTCAATCAAGATGGAAGAATTACGTAAAGTTTTAATAAATAGAATAAATACACCATTAGATATGGAACAATGTTGGATACACATTATGTATCTAGTTAAGAGTTCATGTATTTGACTTAAGATTATATGTATCTATGAGGAAAAAATTCAGATGCTAAAAAGGGAAGAATTTTGAAATATTTTACTTTTTTTTTGGATTAATGATAACAAATAGTCTACCATCGTGATTTGTTCCTATATTTGTGCGTTTCAGATACACATAATTTTATGTATTGTGCTTATTATGTATCCGAGATATATGTTTTTGAATATAATGTATGAAACTAATACTTGATACATCAAATTAATAATAGATACATGTAAAAAATACATGAAATTAAAATTAGATTATATAAATAGATACAATTAAATTAATACTAGACACGTATAACAATTACACTAAAAAAATCTAGATACTTCTATGTTACATATGAACGTACATGTATGATGCTCATGTATCTAAGTGTTTAGTTGGTTGGATACATCATATATTGATAATATATACATCAAATTAATGGATTTATTAATTTAAGAGTAATAAAATGAAATTAATCGAATTACATGACTAAGATATGCATTTTTTTTTTGTCTTTTATTATCAATATTAATGAATTTATTATTTCAAAAAATAATAAAATGAAATTAATTAAACATAGATTCACTCCTTGATTTTGGCATTATATTAAGGAATTTGATTAATCTAAATTTTCAAAATTAATTTTCCATGTATTATGAAAATCCTCAATTACTTCTCTCAGTTACAACCAATTAATTTAAACAAATAACATATGTATCTCAGTTTTAAAATTCGACAGATACATGTATCTCACAGATTCCAACTCGTGTATCCTAAACATGAAATATGGTAGAGGAAGTAAAATTTGAAACTATCGAAAATTTTAGTAATTGGACCTAAACTAGTGGAATTTATGTAGTTTGCCCTAAAAAGATTCACTCTTCCAATATAAATGGATTGAAAGCCCAACTTTAAATGATTTTTGAAACTCTCTCTTTTATTATTGGTCTTTATTATTGAGCCCAAGCCCAAGTAGTCTATGGGCCTGAACAACCAAAAGATGAGGAACAACCGAACAAGTATATCATTGAAATTTTTTGGAAATCCTTTCACAATCAACGAGAGTCGTGTGTATCATCTCTAACAACATATAAGGTAAGTTGTTAAATCTCTCTGTTAAAGAAATTCAATAATAACTCGTACGTAATATTTGAACATAAGATATTTAACAAACTTTTTATTTATTAGTATACGTCATTTTAAATTTAACATTGATATTATATTTTCTATTTCAATTTGTTACTTTCTTGATGGAATAGTATAAACATTTCATCCTTTGGTCTAATCTCAACATAAATAATTAAAAGAATCAAGTCCATATATAGAGAAAAAGAATTGTGAGATTATCAGAGTATCTAAGATTGCATCATATTGAATTCCAAATGAAGCAAAGTTTTTTTTTTTTCTAGTTTTACAACACCCAATCGCATTACACTTTTTTTATTTATTTTAAGAAAACAAAAGGAGAAACTTTTTTGCATAAATATACTTGGTATAGTTGATTTCAGGTGGAAGCAAAGGAAATTAAAGGCAAGTTTATGATTGGAAAAATTAGAATAATTGCTCTTGAGTGAGACATAAGGGATATGGTTATTCTATCCCTATTTACTTTCTTCTTCAACAAGTTCTAGCAACTTATACTATTAACGTGCCACGTCTCTTATTTAAAGAAAATCCAAAGATTGCAGAAGCAGCTACTTTAGACAAAGAGGAATAATGGAATTAAGGCCCTTTATATTAAAAATTTCATTCTGCGAATTAAATGAAATAGGATTAGTATTAGTATAGACTATAGTGCTTTACCACCAAAGTTAGTATATATATAAAATACCCTTAATTCGTTTCACATTCGAGTTTTATGATTACAAAATAATATTCTAGGGGGCAATAAACTTTTCATTAACGGACTATAGTCAATACGAATTCAAATTTATTATATCCATAAACTACGAATATTGGATGAATATATAAGAAAAAATTTCTTATGATTTTTTTTTCCAACGTAACCTTTTACGTTAAGCCTCTTTAGTTGCGACATGCTCGGGCAAAGAAAAGCATGAGTTCGCCGGGAAGGAAAGAAACATAGTAGAATATTTTTTCTGTTTTAATTTATTTGTCCTATTCTTTTTAATATATTTTAAAAGAATGTTTTTTTAGCAACTATTTAATTTCAACTTTCTACATATAATACCACAAGATTAAAGAATATTTTGATATATTTGACCTATATTTAATTAAAGACCTCGAGATTTAAAAATCGGTGTCAAATCAAAATATGGAACAAATTGAAATAAAAGACACAGAGGCGGACCCACACTATAGAAAGGGGGTGCACATGCACCCGCTAACTTTCGAAAGAATCATATGTATATATGTATATCTATTTTGAAAAGCTGGTAGAAATTAGGATATAGTTAACAGTACACCCATGGAAAACATAGAAGTGCCCTTGTGCTACTGGTACAAACTTTTAAAACTTGTGGTCCAAAATGAATGATAGAAATTTGTGTGACTGTAAATCATTTCATTAAGGGTAAAATAGACATTTTATAGTTAAATTGTTAATTTATATAGAAATGTGTCATTCTTTTTTAGACTGACTAAAAAGAAAAGTAAGTCACATAAATTGGGACTGAGGGAGTAATAGTCTAGGCTAGTTACTTTTCAGCAACAACAAATAATAATAACAACAATAACATACTAAAAATGCAATCT